TTAATTATGTCTCAGTAAAGGGATATTTCTTGATAAATTTCATACTTTTTCTCCCTCTATAACTCCTTAAATTGTCATTTCTGTAAAAACAGAAAATCTACCAATATTAATTTAGCTTTAAATTCAATTAAAGCTAACCTCCTCATCATTTAGGGTTGGAAATAATTTTATAAATTTCCATAATTCCTAAATGAATTTTATTTAATTTTTCATAATTTTTTGAGATCTCTAAGTATTTTTAAAAATTAATATTGGCTAATTTTCCTTAATTTAGCCAGAATATTAATAATTAAAATAATTTTGAATAAATTATTTTCAATCTGTATTTACTTTCTAGACCTCAAATATCATTCTACAGCATTAATTCTATTTTTCATGATTTACTGGAAATTTTTAGAATTTCCGGACACTAATTACGATAATGCCCTTTGTAGACCAATCATTTTAAAAATGACAATTTGGTCCTTTTTCAGTTCTCACTTCAATTGTTATGCTGTTTATCTATCTTTTATCTCACCTGGCCTTGGTCAGCTCTAAATCTTTCATTAATCATACTAAAGATATCAGTGTATGACATATTTCCCTATTTCTAAGTTAGAAATTTTGGGATGTTACAGTTATGAATTCCATTATATTACTTGTAAATCGCCAAATTTTTGTTGTAAATTGTTAAATTTCACTTGTAAATTTTTGAATTTCACTTGTTCATTTATGTTTAGACACTTGTATTTGTTTTATTATATATATATATTTTTCATTAAATCATATAATTAAATGGTTTGGTTGGCTTGGTGGTCACATTGTTTTTGATGTGCCAAGGGGTCATGGTAAAACCAGTAATATGAGCTGAGCCCGCCAAAAAAGGCAGGCTCGAGCTAGCATTTTGTCAGCCCGCACCGTTTTTGGCCCACTCCGTCTCGGGCTAGCCCGCTTTTTTTTTTTTGAAAAAACTTTTTCATGAAATTTCTATTATATTATGTAATATAGTTGAAGGATTTTGACCCTCAAATTCCACATAGACATTATCTCATTCATATCATTGCATATGCAATTAAGCATTTTATATATGTGTATAGTTATATAAACTATAAAAAGCATCATCGTCTATCTTTTATTTTTTATTTATTTGTCGTTACTAAACACACCTTTATGATATTAAATAAACATGTGATGCTTATATATACACACACACATAAAAATCTACTTAATTAATTTGAATAAGAAAACTAGTTAAATTAATTATTTATAAAAAAAATATGTGTTAGTTTTTCTTAAATATCTTCTTAAATTATAAATTAATCCTCATATTATTTTATTACAACCCACTACTCAAGTTCAAGACTCCAAGTCTAATTTGGACATTTCAAACTAAGTCCAACTCATACCAATAATAATAATATTTTCTTTTAAAAAAATTTAGGCGGGCTGCTGGGCTAGCCTGCCAACCCGCCTTGGTGGGTTCAGGGTGGGAAAATGCCAGCCTACACCGTTTTTTGTCCGCACCACGGCAGGCTGGCCCGTATCTGCATCACCAACCTCCTTACCAGCTCTAGGTCATGGGTTCAACCCCTAGTCACCTTATTTTAAGCAAATATCCTCCAACCATCGGAGCTCCAATGGCGGCCACCAGAGCTTTGACCTTCAGCTACAGCCACCTGAGCACCGCTGGTCAGACCTCCGACCTTGGATGGCCAAAGCTCCAAGGACAATTAATATTTATTTTTAAAAAAAGGATGGGTATTATTGTAATTTTACCTTTAAATTTTAATTTTATTTTGGTCCTAGGGGCCGGGTTTGGTTGAAGTTTTAAAATGTGTTTGGGGTTGACTGATATTAATTGCCTATGGTGGTCTTAAAATGAAATTTTTTTCATAAAAAATCGTTACTATAACAACAAATGTAATATCAATCATATTATTCACAAGTAGTCATGCGTGAGCCGCCCGACTTATTCATCCCAGCTTCTTTGTAATATTAATATGTCTTTATATTTTTATCTGATTTCTAATGGGGTCATTGTATTTTTTATTTTTATTGAATCCTTACAATTTTCAATCATAGGCATTAGTTTATATGTTTATCATCTATTAACTATGACTAATATGAATCCTGACTAAGCAAACGCGCAAGTGACCACAAAATACAAAATGAAAAAAGAGGTTTTTCAAAAATAAAATGATTCAGTAAAATTTGTGTTAACATAATAAAAGATTATTAGGCTAATATCTCCTTGCATCTATATATAATCTATAATCTGGTCAATTTTTATTTTATTAGATCCATGCGGCAAAATTAATCTAAGTGATAGCAAAAAAAAAAAGGTAAAATTAATCTAAGTATATGTTGATTAAGAATCAAATCATTAGCTACTAACATCGTTTTCTATGACAAATTATGCTAATTAAGTACAGGGACCAAATTGAAAAAAATTATAAAAAAATCCAATAAAAATCTAATTAAAAATATAGTGAAACTATAAGGTTATATGGATTAATTTCTCAATGTAAAATCTGTATCAATTTACAGTATTTATGAACTATATAAATAATATAATTTTATTTGTGGCAGTTTTTAGCCTTTTAAATTTTAATATAGACTTCTTCCCATATTCTTCTTGTAAAAAGGTCTCACATATTCCCTTAGAATTTAAATATTGGAAAACGAATATCATTTTTTTTTGGGAATAATGAATATCATTTTCGATAAATTTTGAAGTTATTATCTATCGTATGCAGTGGCCAGTGGGAGAAAAGACGATATATTGTACGTTAAAATTAAAACAAGGAAAAGAGGCTCGCATTATTTAAGTTATCATGTCTAATAATTTATATTAACAGAGAAATTTGTCTTAAGTAAAAATTATAAATGTCTTTCTGTTTATCTATTTTGTTTCTGTCACTTTAAATCACTTTTAGGCTGTGTAAAGGAATTTATCCTGAAAAATTATTTGGAATCTCTTAGAACAAAATCTAATTGAAAATCCTTAATTTGCTTAGCTGGATGGGTGCTTTCCAGATAATTCCACTCAAAACTCAAAATTCTATTGAATTAAAATTAAGACCCAATTTTATCACTAAAAATAATTCAAAAAAAGGTTTGAATCAGAATATTTCATGATAGAAATAAAAAAAAAATCAATTGCATATAGAGAGTTACAGCTTATACAAATAATGATCTATGATACAATTAATCTCCAAATAATCACACGAGTCTCATTTGGTTAATTATTACATCTAATATAACTGAAAGAGAAAAATATAAAATAGAGACATAAATAATATATATTCATTACCTTTTTCTCTCTCAAATTTTCACTTATTAATTCAGTATTTTATAAGCATCACGAAGCCCTCACAATCTCAGTCATTGTTATATGATTATTTAATATGTAATATTGTTAATTAATTAATTTAAATTTAGGTATTATTGTGCTTGCGGATCTCTGTTCAATCTTTTGCTTCTTCTTTCTCTAAATAAAACTAAAAATTAAATAATATAAATCCCGCTAGATGCAGGCTCACCTGCCACTCTTCTCACACCAAGACTGTAAGAGACAACAATTTGAATTTATAAAGTGTAATGTGTACGTAATTTAACTTTAATTTAGTCCTTTTAGGGGTGGTGTTTGGCAAAACAAGAAAAAGCATTTTTAAATATCAAACTATGGTTTGACCTGAAAATCATCCAACCACCACACATTTTGAGAAAACTAAGGTTTGGTCCAAAACCATCGTTTAGGCTGTGAAACCATAGTTTCAAAAGAAACAACAATTTTTCACTCTTGGATGGCATCAATGAATTACAGACTTTGAAAGGCATCTATATTTGCATTAACTTCTTTATTCTCTTTACAACCCCAACAAACTTACCTAGATATTTTCATATTTTCCTATTATGTTTTATAAAATATATAATAAATTTTTGACTTCATATGTAAATTTAATCAAATTAGTTATGTTTAATATTTTTATCATATGATTATTAGAAAAAATATTAGGAAAATTCATAAATATATAATAAGAGTATTATTTTAAAAAAAATATATTTAATCTTATATTTTATATACACACTAATTATTAATTAATCATATAACTAATAAATTGCTCTTACATATGTTTATTCAATTTTTAAAAAAATATCACGAAATTTCATGTTTAAAATGTTTAAGGTAAAATAATCATATTTCTAAAAACATATTTAATCTTTTTTTTTTAAAATATAGACACACATATTAATTATTAATTATTTATATTTTTATTATATTATTTATTATGTTGGCAAAAAATATATTATTAACAAATTTATTATTTTCAATAAAAATATATGAATTAGTAACTTCTAATTAATATGTGTGTAAAGAAGTTCTGACATTTAAAAGGATAACTTAATTATAAATGGAACCATTTGTGTCTATTTGCTTGGGTTCTGAAATTCTAGTGATTGGTTCTAGTTGAAATTTGTTGATTTCAAATACGTTGTTTGTAATTATATATTTTCTAGGTTCTTTATTTGCCATTCCTCACTAAACATTCATATATATATATATATATATATATATATTAGCCTATTAAAAAAGCTCATAAGGAAAATTAGAGATAAATCCCTCATCAAAAATTTAATTAGCAAATGAACCTAAGAACTTTGTGCAACTTTACTTTTATTGTGTGTAACTTAACTTCCTTTATGTGTAATTTATCTTCCCTCGTATGTAATAATTTTCTTTATGCGGTGTGCAACCTAATTGCCCTTTGTGCAACTAAAATTCTCTTGTGTGCAAGTCATCTTCTCTATATGCAAACTAATCTCTTATATTTAAATATTTTTGTGCAAACCATCTTCTTTTTGTGTAACTTACTTTCCTTTACATGTAACTAATCTTCTCTTGTGCAATCAATCATTTTAAACGCCATTTACCAATTAAATTTGTAGCAAGGGATTTATCCCCAATTTTTCCAAACGTGTATTTTCTGCGCGCACGTTCGTACAACTAAAAAGATTAAAACATATTTAAAAATATGCAGTATACACAACGACACATACATATATTTATAATTTTAAGGGCAAGCATTGGATTTGGAAACACTATATATATCTCAAGAATCCAAGTCTTGTAGACAAAATCTGAGAGTGAAGGATATATAGGTGAGGAAGCTCCAATTCGTCGACGATCAATGGGATCCACTTCGGCGACCAGGTTAACAGAGTACAGTAACTGGAGGTGCGTCAGCAATTACCACTTCCAGTGCTGCGCCAACTTGTCGCCGGAGCCACACTATCCGTCGATGACGAGATTTCCGAGAGGCTCCTCGCAGGAAGAGGCGTTGAGATCGCCGGAAGCCAAAGCAGTTTTGAAAGTCACCGGGATGACGTGCGCCGCCTGTGCTGGGTCCGTGGAGAAAGCCGTCAAACGCCTCCCTGGAATTCGCGACGCCGTCGTCGATGTCTTGAACGATAAAGCGCTGGTTCGCTACTTTCCGGCGATGGTTACTGTAAGTGCTTCTTCATCCTTCAGATCTCCTCTCTCTCTCTCTCTCTCTCTCTCTCTCTCTCTCTCTCTCTCTCTCTCTCTCTCTGTCTCTGATGCATTTGTTTATGATTGCGTGATTGTTGAAATGGTCTGAAGAAACTGATAATTAACTAATCTGATCAGAAGAAATTGATACACGATCGATTTGCTTCATCAACACTTTTATAATTACACATTTATGTGTGATGTGTGCATATATTTAATACACGGTGTTGCTTGGGTGGGCTGTGAGGTAGTTCTCCTTGGCTCTTGAAGAATCAGGAGGGATAATGATAATCTTTCGTAGGTATTACATATATATATATATATATATATATTGTGTGTATGTATGTACATGTATATATAAAAAGATTAATGTTAATTGATAACTGATAGGGGTGTGTTCGTCATGAGAGCTCAAGGAAAATGATTTTGAAGTGACCTTTATTTACAGTTGTTCGGCTTCTTTTGAATCATGCCGGTCAAAAGAAGCTTCTCTTTATGTTAGCTTACTAGAAAGCTCCGATTTAATTGCTTTTATTAATATCAAGTAATCAAAATAGTATCATCTTTTTATTACTAACGTAATTTAATTAACATTGTTGTTAGTAGATAATCTAATTTTTAAATATTAATGCTTCTTTAATTAATCTGTAAGCAATGGGATTTGTTTTGATTTTATTAATAATATACATCAACTACCCTATTCACCTAACACTCTCTCCCTATTTTGGCAAGACTTGCCCCTTGCTTGGATGAGAGAAAATTAAAAAGGAGAAAAAAAATTAGAGAGTAAAATATTAGGAGAAATTTTCTCTTGTTTAGATAGGAGAGAAAATGTGGAAGGAAGGAAGATGGGGAAAGAAAATAAGGTGAGCCATACCTATTTTCTCTCTAAATTTTTTTTCCATATATGGAGAAATTTGGAGGAAAAAAATTAGATTTCCATTACTGCCCCTCCTCTCTCTTCCTCTCTATATTTATTTTCTTTTATTATATTTAAAAAATATTCACTTTTTATTTTTTATCTTAAAAAATATTTTTATTGAATAATTTGGTTTTAAAATATAATAATATGAAAAAAATATATATATAAATCAAATAACTTGATTTTAAATTATTTGATGATGCTAATGTTAGTACAATTTTTCTATTGCAATATTTAATTTGATTTAATTTTAAATATGATATATTTTGATAAGGAGATTTTAGTAATTTAAGTATTTGCTCATTTTCTTTTTTCTCTATTTTCTCTTATCTATCCAAACAAGAGGGGTGATAATATCTTCTTTCTAGTTTTTCTTTCGCTCTATTTTCTCTCCTCCCATTTTGTTTTCTCCCAACTTGTCTTCTCATCCAAGCAGAGCATTATTTTTGAGGGGATATAATACCTATTTTTATTTTTATAAGACTTTTTTTTTCCACAATTTTAGGAATTGATTCTTAATATAAAACTTTAATTCAGATTATTTTTTATATTTATTTTTTTGGTCAAAATAAGTTATTTAACTTATAAACTGATGTATATAATCTAATGTTATATAGGGGTATTTTAAGAAGATTGTGTCATTTTTGGTAAATTAAATAATTTATTTAACTTTCTTAATTTATCTAAATTAGTTCGGTAAAAAAAAAAAGAAGAAGAAGACCAAAGTAGTAAAATCTTTCAAGCCATTCTCCTAAAAAATGAATTTTTTTTTTTTTAGAATTATGCATGTCATTAACATATTTAATTGAGAGTAAAATTGAAAAGAAGAGAAACAAATTTAAACATCAAGTCATCAACCAATTTATTGGTGTTTGTGAATTTTAAAAGTATAAAATGAATTTATCTTCAAATACAGAGAGACTGTAATAAAATTAGGATAATATTTAAGTATAGTTTCTTATATCTATTATATCAAATTCTCCAATTACACATGCCATGTATTTTATTTTATTTTATTTATGAGTTTATAATTAAAGGCTAATATTTTAAAATTAGGACACATGACTATGTGTAATTGGAAAACTTAACATAATAAATATAATAAGGAACTTGATATAAATAACTAAATATAGTCCATAAAATTATCATATAAATATATATATTTATATAAAAACCAAAAGATTGACCCTTCACGAATAAGTGATTGGAGGATGGGAATTTATCGAATTTTGTCTAAATTATGCAGAGTGGTCGTTGAAGTTAATTCCCCTGACGTGAAAATTTACTTGTTTTCATTTTTCACTAAAAAAAAAAAAGGTTTTCCCAAAGGTAGATTCTTTCTTTAATTTCTCAAAGATATCTTTATAATCCTGTTGTTGTTATTATTATTATTATTATTATTATTATTATTAAACAATAGTACAATACTTATTTCTTCTTATTATTTTTATTTATGGGCATAAAATATACTTTACATTCATAAAATCATTTTTTTCAATTTTTCTTTTTATTTCGCCATTCTCTTTATGTTGAATAAAGCTGACACCTAAGGAGAGATAAATTGGGTGTTCTTAGAAATTTTTATAAACTTTTTCCCGATTCAAAAACAATAAAATAGTAAAACAGTGAGAAAATAAAGCAAAAAAAATAAACGAGCTTTGAAAGGAGATTTGAAGAAAATAAATTAGATAAATACATAAATTTTTGTATCAGTACAAACCAAATCACGTGATTTAGTTAAATCTAGCCCTCATAAATCTTATTGGTTTTATTTATAATACAGTATTTACAAAATCACAGCACACTATCATAAGAAATTTTTTTCACTAGAAGTTAGGACAAACCTACTTTTATTTCTGTATTCATTTTGTTTGCCTCTCATCCCTTATTATTATTATTATTTTGGAGTGAAGGGTCCCTTATTCTTTTTTAAATAATTATCTGTCTCCCATCATCATCGATCTTAAAAGATGTAAATAAAACTGGTCATAAAGCAAATATAAAAGCGATTCTCATTCTCTACCACATATAACTGCAGGAATATGATTTTCCTTTTCCTGTGTTTCTTTTTTATGAGTCGATGGATGTCAGGACTAGGACACATTTCTTCTCTTTATTGGTTGGATAGATTTATTTGAAAAAAAGAAAAAGAAAAAGGGGAAGGATAGAGGAGCACCACATTTTAGGCATCTTGATTTTTTATGATACATCCAATATCATTATTTTATTTTCTTGATGCATCTAATACCATAATCTTATTTAAAATATTAGATGTAACTAAAAAAATAATATTGAGGGTGTTAAATATATAAAAAGAGATAAGATCAGAATATTAAATATATCATTAAAAATTTTGGTGTTGGATCCACCTTTGTCCTGAAAAAGCATTATTAGTTTTCTTCACCCATTAAATGAAATATAAGATACTACTTCCGCTCCTCAATATAAAATTTCATTTGAATTTTATATTGATCTTAAATATAAGACTTCAATCCATTTTATTTCTCATATTTAGTCATTTTTTTCCAAGATAGTCTTTCTAGTAATGATAATTTTAACCAACAAACTTGATTAGCAAGGATATTTTAGGAAAAACAACACCTATTTATTACAAATAACTAACTAAACTTGTTTCTTTAATCTATTCAAATAGGGTGGAGCAACAGGCGGGTTGGGCAGCCCGGCCCCTAACTTGTGGCCCGCCCGTTTATGGTTACACGGGTACAGGCTAGCTTGTACCAGTATATAGCTTGTTTAAACTCGTTGTTAAGCAAGCCAGGTTAAATGGGCGGGTTTGTGCAGGTTATGGGTAACCCGTTTAACGAAAAATGCACTCTGGACTGTTTAAATTTAAAGACATTAAAATCATAATACAGGATAACCTAACTATAATTAATCAAAATTCATATTTCATAGTCCGTAATTAATCAATGTGCATACTTCATAGTCCATACAATCACAATCCATCATGCTAAATTTTGAGTGTTCAAGCTTTAAGCAAAACAACCGCAAGTTAATTCACAACAGAAGCAATGAAGCAATGAAGTTACGTTACATTATTCACAACAGAAGCAATGGGTTTTCAATTGCATTATTGATTGGGTCATGCTTGGGGCTCCAACTTTGGCTACAACCTAATTACCTAACTGATAAAATCTAGCTGACAAGAGTAAAATGAAATATTAAAGTGGGAGATTCGAAAGTTGAAAAACTTACAGCGTGAGAGAGAGATTGAATTGGGAGGCTGGGAGCGATGACCCTGCGTGAGAGACTGAGAGATCGAGATGCCAGAGGGAGAGGGACTTCACGATGGTGATTGGCGAGGGGAGAGGGGCTATGGCCCTTTGCATCTGCACGACCGGTGAACTGGCGAAGATGAAAGACACAGGGTGCGACAGAGGGGTGATCGTGACTATGGATGGGGTGAGCCTGGGAGCACTGAGCGAGTGGGTGACTATGACTATGAGTGCCTGTCTGGTCTACGGTCTGCCTAAGACACTAGATAGGAGAGGCATGACTGTGACTCTGTGAGGTCAACTGGCAAGGCGAGACGAAAGAGTAGAGACGGTGTAGTGAAATAGGCCATGAATTGTTGGACTGGACTTGTAAGTGGCCCTAAGTCCCTAACCAGTAACCAGTAACTAAGGTAGATTTTTGATCTATCTTATTTGTATTTTTTTCAAAAAAAAAAAGAGTAAATGGGCGGGTACAGGAAGCTCATGCCTATGCCCGTAGGCCGCCCATTTAATTTGTGAACCCGCCCGTTTATTTTCTCTTTTGGGCGGGCTTTTTATGGTTGTGGGCGGGTAGCCGAGTTCCGGGTTGCTTGCTCAGTTTTATATTCAAATTAGTCAACTAGCTTTTATATTTATGACCGAAAGTAGTAATATATATAACGACTGTCCTTGGAGCACTCTTTTTTTTTTTTTGACTCTACTGTGTTTTGTTCATTCCTTTCTCATAATTTGTATCATCATTTCATCCCCCCCCCCTTTTTTTCCTTCTATCTCATCATCTCTCGCTATTATTGGATTTAAACTCGATTGATTCCATTT